AAAAAGCATTTGACAAAATTCAACATCCATTCATGATAAAAACTCTCAACAAAATGGGCATAGAGGGTAAGTACCTCAACATAATACATGCTATATATGACAAACCCACAGCTAACATGATACTTAACAGTGAGAAGCAAGCTTTTCCTTTAAGATTGGGAATGAGACAAGGATGCCCACTCTCCCCACTTTTATTCAACATAGGTCTGGACGTGCTCACAATGGCAATCAGACAACACAAAGAAAGAAAAGGCATCCAGATTGGTCAAGAAGAAGCTAAACTGTTACTGTTTGCAAATGACATGATATTTTACATAAAAAACTCTAAAGAATCCACTCCAAAAGTACTAGATCTAATATCTGAATTCAGCGAAGTTGCAGGATACAAAATTAATACACAGAATATGTTGCATTCCTATACATTAATGATGAACTACGAGAAAGAGAAATCGGGAAAATAATTCCATTCACAATTGCATCAAAAATAACAAAATACCTAGGGAGAACCCTCACCAAGGAAGTGAAAGACCTATACTCTGAAAACCACAAGACACTTATGAGAGTAATACCAATAAATGGAAACACATTCCATGCTCATGGATAGGAAGAATCAATATTGTCAATATTGTCAAAATGGCCATCCTGCCTAAAGCAATCTACAGATTCAATGCAATCCCTATCAAAATACTGGCAACATTCTTCAATAAACTGGAACAAATAGTTCTAAAATTCATAAGGAACCACAAAGGACCCTGAATAGCCAAAGCAATCCTGAGAAGGAAGAATAAAGCTGGGGGGATTTTGCTCCCCAAATTCAAGCTCTACTACAAAGCCACAGTAATCAAGACAATTTGATAGTGGCACAAGAATAGACTAATGGAACAGCCTAGAAAGCCCGATATAAACCCAAGTATATATGTTCAATTAATATATAATAAAGGAGCCATGGACATACCATGGGGAAATGATAGCCTTTTCAACTGGTATTGACAAACTACAGTTATATGCAAGAGAATGAAACGGGATTATTGTCTATCCCCATATACAAAAGTAAACTCGAAATGGATCAAAGACCTGAATGTAAGTCATGATGCGATTAAACTCTTAGAAGAAAAAATAGGCGAAAATCTCTTTAATATAAACATGAGGAACTTTTTTCTGAATGCATCTCCTTGAGCAAGGGAAACAAAAGCAAAAATGAATACATGGGACTACATCAAAATAAAAAGCTTCTTACAGCAAAGGACACCATCAACAGAAAAAAAAGGCATCCTACAGTATGGGAGAATATATTTGTAAATAACATATCCGACAAGGGGTTAACATCCAAAATATATAAAGAACACACATGTCTCAACATCCAAAAAGCAAATAACCTGATTAAAAAATGGGCAGAGAATATGAACAGACAATTCTTCAAAGAAGAAATTCAGATGTCCAACAGACACATTAAAAGATGCTCCACATCACTAATTATCAGGGAAATGCAATTAAAAAACACAATGAGATATTACCTCACCCCAGTTAGGGTGATCATCATCCAAAAGACAAACAACAACAAATGTTGGCAAGGATGTGGAGAAAGGGGAACCCTCCTACACTGCTGGTAGAAATGTAAACTAGTTTAACCATTGTGGAATGCGTTATGGAGGTTCCTCAAGAAACTAAAAATAGAAATACCATTTAACCTGGGAATTCCACTCCTAGGAATTTACTCAAAGAATATAATTTCTCAATTCAAAAAGACATATGCACCCTATGTTTATTGCAGCTCTATTTACAATAGCCAAGATACAGAAGCAACCTAAGTGTCCATCAGTAGATGAATGGATAAAGACGTGGTACATATACACAATGGAATACTGTGCAGCCATAAGAAAGAAACAAATCCTACCATTTGCAACAACATGGGTGAAGCTGGAGGATATTATGCTCAGTCAAATAAGCCAGGTGAAGCAAGACAAGTACGAAATGATTTCCCTCATTTGTGGAGTGTAACAATAAAGCAAAACTGAAAGAACAAAACAGCAACAGACTCACAGACTCTAAGAAGCAACTAGCAGTTACCAAAGGGGAGGGGTGGGGGAGGGTGGGTGGGAAAGTGGGGAGAAGGGGATTGAGGGGTAGTATGATTGGCTCACATGCTGTGGGGGGTGTCATGGGGAAGACAGTGTAGCACAGAGAAAGCAAATAGTGACTCTGTGGCATCTTACTATACTGTTGGGCAGTGACTGCAGTAGGGTATGGGGGGGACACAATAACATGGATGAATGTAGTATCCTCATTGTTTTTTCGTGTGAATCCTTCATAAGTGTATATCAATAATACCTTAAAATAAATAAATAAATGAAAAAATAAATAAATAAATAAGTAAGTAAATACATACACACAGACATAAATAAATAAATAAATAAAGCTTTGACCAGTGGGGGGAAAAAAGATCTCTGCACTCCTGTGTTTATTGCTGCATTATTTACAATAACCTAGTTATGGAAGCAACCTATGTGTCCATCAACAGATGAATGGATAAAGATGATCTCATACATATACACAATGGAATATACTACTCAGCCTTAAAAAAAAAGAAATTCTGTCATTTGCAACAATACAAATGGACCTAGAGGGTGTTATGCTAAGTGAAATAACCAGGTGAAGAAAGACAAATACCATATGATTTCACTTATTTGTGGAATCCAAAAACAAGACAAAGCAAAATGAACAATGCAGCAGTGGACTCATAGTCACCGAGAAGTGACTGGTGTTTACCATGGGAGAGGGATTGGCGTGGGTTAATGGGGAGGATGGAGGGGAGATAAAGGGACACAAAAATTCTCAATCACAATAAAAGTTGGTCACAGGGATGGTAGTGCAGCATGGTGAATATAGCCAATGATTATATAGCATGTTCCTATGTTGAAATACACTAACTGCACTAGTGCAGGTGAGGATTTAATGATATGGGTAACTGTTGAACTACCATGTTGTATACTTGCAACCAATATAAGATTGTTAATCAATGATATAAAGAAAAAAAAAGTAAGGCAATACTTATATACTGAAAACTGCAAAATATTATTGAATGAAATTAAACTCCAAATAAATAAAAAGACATCCCATGCTCATCAATCAGAAAAATTAATATTGTTATGATATCAGCATTACCAAAATTCATAATAGAATCAGCACAGTATCTATCAAAATCCCAGCTGACTTTTTTCAAGAACTTGACAAGGCAACCCTAAAATTCCTGTAGAAGCGTAACCCAGAATAGCCAAAGTAACCTTGTGAAAGAAGAAAAAGGTAGATGACTCAGATTTCCTAATTCTAAAACTTAATACAATCCCTTAGTTAAAAAACTATAACATTAAAGAAAATATGCTACTGGCTTAAGGTAGACATGTAGATGAGTGGAATAGAATAAAATGTCCAGAAATAAACCTGTTTAATAATAGTCAACTGAGTTTTGATACAGAATACCAAAAGAATTTGATAAGACAGAGAATCTTCTTAAAAAATGGTGTGGACACAACTGTATAGTTGCATGCAAAAGAATGAATTTGGACCTAACTCATACCATGTGCAAACAAACTCAAAATGGATCATAGAACAAAATTCAATAGCTAAAACTACAAAAATCATTGAAGAAAACGTAGGAGTCAATCTTCATGACCTTGGTTTAGGCAATTATAGTTTAGATATGACACCAAAAGCACAAGTATCAAAACAATAATATAAGTAAATAAATTGGACATCAAAGGTAAAATATTTGTGCTTCAAATGAGTGAAAACACACAGAATGAGAGAAGATATCCACATACCATATATGGCATACGGGCCCTGTTTTTAAAGTATGTAAAGATCTCTTACAGCTCAGTAAAACTCAGTAATAAAATGACAAGTAACACAGTTTTTAAAATGTGCAAATAGCTTGAACACATATTTCCCCAAGGAGGATATGCAAGTAAACAATAAGCACACAAAAAGGTATTTAACATTGTTAGTCATTAGGGAATTGCAAATCAAAATCACAATGAGGTACCACTTTACACGCACTAGGATGACTGTAATCAAAATGACAGATGATAAAAACTTGAGAGAAGATACAGAGAAATAGCAACTATCATGCATTGTTGGTGGCAAAGAAAGTGGTGCAGCCATTTTGGAAAACAGTTTTAGAGCGCTGTAACTCAAAAGGTTAAATACCAAATTATAATATGCCCCAGCAATTCCAGTCATAGATGTATGTCCCTAAGAAATGAAAATTTGTGCCCACTCAAAAACTCGTACATGTGTTCATTGCAGCATTATTCAATATAGACAAAAGTGGAAACAACCCAAAAATTTCCATCAATTTATGAATGGATACACAAAATGTGGCTTATCATATAATTTAGTATCACTCATTAGTAAAAAAAAGAAGTGGTGTAGTGATGTATACCATAACATAGGTGAACCTTGAAAGCATTATGCTAAGCAAAAAAAGCCAGTCACAAAAGACCAAATACTGTATAATTTCTTAAGGCAAATATATGGAGTCCAAAGTAGATTAGTGTTTGCCTGGGCGGTGAGGGATAGCCAGATGTAGCACTCAGTAAGCTGAAAGTTGGATTTAACCAGTGTGGTCAAATGCTGCCTAAATATTTTTATATGCTGTATTAATATTGATGTAAAAATTCACTGAAACGGTTCTTCTTTTGTACATGTAATTGCATAAGGAAAATTGTGCATCCCTAGGAGATATGCAAATTGTGTAAGCATCAATAATCTTGCTCCATGTAGCAACAGAAAATAAGCATTGTTTCTTTTCTAAGAATTATTTCCTTTTTTCTATTTTTTTCATTGGTCTCTTGTCAGATTTTTCTGTTTTGCTTTTCATGTAAAAATGACAGTTTTAATGGAAGCATTTAAATTTCAGGGATTTTGTATGCTTTAGCTTGGTACACTAATTTCATGTAAATACTGGTATTATGTAATCTTTGTTTATGAATTCTCTTCTCCAGGTATCTTCAGATCTTCCAATGGTGTGGGGAAATCCGAACATCACCATAGACCCTGACAATGTAATTCCATATATTCTACACATATGTCCTTGGAAACGTGGAGTATTCAAAGGTAATGAAACCCTTAACAAAATATTATTACCTACTATGTTAGGACAGATACATGATAAAAAGAAATAAAAATGTAATTTACATTTTTCCTTTCTAATAAATAACCCAGAGGGGAATTTAGTTTTCCATTTCAGTCATTAGCTTTCTAAATAATCAGAGCTTGGGGGATGCATTTTATGTCTAGTGCTATACTCTCTTGGCCATTTATTTGAATTCATTTGTAGGACAAATCCCTGGAAGTGGGAATATTTAAAGATACATACATTTAAAATTGTCATAACTGTTTTCAAATTGTTGTACCAATTTATGAACCAGACATCATCCTATGAAAATTTCTGCTTATGGGACTAAATACTATAAAAATATGTACAAACATTTAATTGACACAGGAAAAATATGTTAAAGTCTTTGGTATATGTGAATTTTTCTTCCCTCATCTCTTATAAAATATTCATTTGTACAAATTGCCCTGATGGTCCCTGAACAGAATTGCTTGTTTGGGAATGGGCATGCAGGTTATTCCTACAAGCTTGTAAAGAGAGAGCGGGTGAAAAGGGTAGTAGAGTAATAGGGAAGAACTGAGGCGCTGTGATCCATCAGAGGAATAGTCCTATTTGGTAGACAATTAAATGCCCACTGGTGGTTGGATCCTGCTAAGGAAATAATTATAATGTAGGTAAATTGGGACAAGTTCGAAGTGTAGAAAGCATATATCCAGTAGCAATCTTGTGCAGCCCTGTTTGCATCAAGAAAGGAAGTTTTAAGAAAGGTTCTAAAACTAGCATAGAAGGTGTAGAGAGCTGCTCCAAAGAAGAAAGTACAAAAAGAGTAGACCCAATGCAATTAACAAGTTGAACCTATAAAGATGGGCAGTTTCAGAATGGCAAACACAATGATCCAGTTAATACCACTGTAGAATAATGTGCTATGAAGGTAGAGCCAACCTGCTCACACCACTCTTGGCTTCTAGTGGGCTTGGCCTCACATGTCACCACAGTCATAGTCATTAGCATCTCCTGAAATCATCCCATCATTTTTTAGACTTTTGGCTTTACAAAGCCCATTAGTAATTCTCTGTGTGATAGGTAGATTTTGAGCTATAGTGAGCCTATTCCAAACACTTCAGTGAAGTATCGTGTTTCACCATTTTTATGTAATTCAGAAGATTTGAATTGATTTTAAGAAATACAAATTTCAGTTTTTAATAGTCAAATGATAGTCCTAATGGTGTGTTTTCCTTAGTTTTAAAATTTAACTGGGCTTTTGTAAAGGGCAGCAAATCATTCAGAATTGCCATTATTATCTTTGATAAACATAATAAATCCATTTCCTGTTCTATAAAAGGCAGTGAGTTCTGCTATGCATGAGAAGGAACGTAAGAGCAAACTCAAACTGTGGACCATTGGTGAATTGGGAATATTTATGACTCCCTTAAACAAAACAAAGCCCCTGGTCTTTCAGACTCTTGACAGTTACAAAAATGGAGCTAAGAATAATTAAACAATTGTATTTAATACATCTTTCCTTTGTATAGTCATTTTTTGTTGGTTTTGGCAGTATCTCTGAGACTATAACTTTTCAATTCATATTTTCACTATTTAGATATGGATTCATTTAGCATGTTGGTTTGAAGGACTTTAGAAGGAATTTGGGGAAGTTAAAGGCAACTCCGTACATTCTTAAGTGAGGATGAAGTAGTAAGTGTTGCTTGCTAAATAAGAGGTTTTGCAGGCTTCATAATTTTGAAAAATACTTGCAACATGCTGCTGCTTGTTCTTCCCAGTGCGGTCCCTTAGTATTGAATTAATGTTGTCATTATGATTGAGAAGCTGAACCTATAAAGAAGACTAACTCTATTTTTATTGATATTACTATTGGAAGACTTCTACAATATTTTAAGCAGTATAAATGTAATTGCTTCTGAACTGCCATTAATCCAATGTAACATAAAGATAGGTAGCCTCTAAAATTTTTAGATGTATATGGCCTCAGGACTTTGATTTGGTATCCTTTCTGATTGGTTAGAGCAGGAAAGTAGGTAAGTTAATTATTTTGAGTATTACCACTGCGTACAGAGATGGGTATCATATGGCTCCTGCCTCCTAGGGATTCATGTCTGGTGGTGGAAATAGAGATGCGTAAATCGTCTCAATACAAGGCATGCTCTGATATACTAAAAGTTTGTGCATGGTGCTGCAAAGCATGGTAGCAAGAAATGTTAGCCCTAGCAGTGGGGGGTCTGAGTGGGCCTCTTAGTGGAAGCAAAGGATACTAACTTTGATCTGTGCTGGATAGGAGTTAGTAAATTATGATGCCCAATTTCCTTGCCCTTGGCCTGATACTTCCTCACAAGGTTCTCAGTATGGTTCCCTAGGTCTCAGCAGTACTCTGACATGTAGCTTATTTTATTTGATCCAGTGAAGGGTTTGATCTGGGCCTTGGAGAAAGAGCTGGGGTTTGTCAGCCAGTGTGGTAGTGGGGGCATCCCAGCAGAGAAAACAACTCTTGTGAAAACACAAGAAGACACTGTATATAATGAACAGAGGGGTGTGTTTGGAGTGTGTGTTTGTGGTGACGAATGCAAGGGTAACATGCAATTTAAAACACAGGCCAACTTTGTTGGGCAGAGTTTTATTTTACTTCTTATTGCACTGGGAGCCAATTCTGAGGGCCATGAGTCAACCAAGTTTTAAGAGAAATCTAGAGGTAATACACAAGGCAGAAGGGGCAAAAGAGGACAGTTAGATCTGAGAGGTCATTTAGGGGTCTCGAGCAATATTCTAGTCGATCAGTTCTCAACATTAGTTTGGGCCTCTTCTCCCCAAAGCAGACCCTGAGAGAGGAGTTCAATTCCAGATAGTTTATTGGAGCAGTGATCACAGGATGCATTCTGAGAGAATGGGGAAGTCAGATGCTGAAGGGAAAAAGTCAAATAAAATAAGCTAGATGTCAGAGTACTGCTGAGACCTAGGGAAACTTACTGGGAACCTTGTGAGGAAGTATGGTGCCAAAGGGCAGGGAAATTGGGCATAATCATCTGCTAACTCCGATCTATCACAGGTTGAAGTTTGCTCTTAGGGCAGATTCCCAGGGCAGTGAATCCCCACTGGAAAAGAGCAAGAGGAAACCACTGGTGTATGTGGGAACTGTTTGCAGAAGGGATTTGTATGGGGCACCGAGAACATGTAAGTGAGTGTCATGGCATGTTGACTGGTAGATTAAAATTTTGAGAAACGGATAGATTTGGAACTTTCACAGCAGCCTGCAATGAGCTACAATCATGTTGCAAGTGTACCTATGTGGAAATATTTGTGGGAATGCCTCTTTGGCCGTGGAACAGAGACTTAAGATTGACCGTTCTAAGTGAGAGTTAAAGACCAACTGACCTAGGCCTCTGATAGTGGGTTATAAAACAGAGGGGCAATTTAAAGAGAAATAAAAATGGAAAATGATTTTATAACAGCTTGGGTATCCAGAGGATTAAACTCTGAGATGGGATATTAGCCTGTAGAACATTTATTAGGGAGTGTGTTGTAATCAACACTTGCAAAGGGAAAGGAAAGGAAGTATATTGACCAGGAGGAGAAGCTGGGCTTCCAGACAGCCCCAGGGAGGGGTTTTAGTCAACTCACTGGGGCCTCTGCAGCCAGCATGGCCCTTCGGAATTGTCCCATGTTAGGAGAAGGGGACTGGGCCTTTATGATGCTGTGTTGATTGGTCATTGAAAGTGGGCTATGTGTGGTAGGAGGTTTGACCTTGGATGAGGTTTTTTTCAAACAAGGTGATGCCTAAAGGGAGCTGACCTGATGGGCATCTTCCAGCATCATTCCCATCAGCTACAGAAATAAATCCTTTGTTCCTGAAAAGGAATCTGGTTGATGCAGCATAGTGTCCACCACAGTTGCATTGATGAAAACTGGGATGTGGAGAGATAAGGGAGAAAGGAGAGTCAAGTGTACTTCCGATAGTAAGCAACTCTAAGAAAGGGGATACCATTAACTTTGAGAGAAAAGTGATCAGAATAGATGGACTAGTTAGGGAGAAAGAGCCCAATTCTACTTTGATTTGCATATCATCTTTGTATGTCAGTAAATTTCAGAAAAATATTGAATCCATCAACCTAGATATGAAACTATGGAACCTTAGAGGGAAACAGACAAAACCAAGCAGACATCACATGTGTAGGCATGGTAGAAATAATGTGTTAATGACTGAGTGTATTAAAACATGATGGCTTAATTCTCTCTTTAATAACCAGAAAATGATGTCTCTGGTTGGGATAAATATTAGAATGCAAAATACTAATATTATTTTCCATTGTTAGAGGATTAGAATGTAATAAAATATAGAAATGCAGTAAGGGCCTGTTGCATATTTTTAGTAGTGAATGAAATACGCAACTAAATTTCCATTCGTTTCAGGTAGAAGCTTGATTCTTTGCACAAGACTAATATTTAGGTGAAGATGATTAGGCCTCAGTGGTTAGCATATACTTTAGTAACAATAATTCTTCAATTTATTTTGATTGCCATAACATAATATGATTCACAAGCATGATGTAATGATGGCTATAAACATGCATGTTCACAACATAGAGCAATTCACTCCTAATACCATACAAGAAGATGAACTTGTACAGGTAAGAATTAAGGTTTTACAATTTGATATAATCTACATATCATTTTTTCTAATAATGTGCTCTAGTTGCTTTTTAATAATCTACATAGAGCACACATGTCTCTGGCACAACTGCTGTGAGATCCTTACGAGAATGTCACACTAATCAGCTCAGCGCCCTCCAGCTTGGGAATATTAGGGTTATAACAGAACCTTAAAAGGCAAATTTTAGTAAGAACAAGCAGGTGACTGCCTAAACTTGTAGGGATAACTCTAGGTCCCTTTTCTGTGAAGGGAAATGAAGAGCTATGAAGCCAAATAATTAATTTGGAGTTTGGTAGGCCAAAAATATAATGTGAAATCTGGAGCCAAGCCATGCAAGTG